CTGATTTCAATGCTTCAGTTGGTATGTTGTCAGGTCCTGCTGCTTTCTTATTCTTCATTTGTCTGATAGCCATCCCAATTTCTTCGATTTATGGTGGAGTGACATCTATAGGAAGGTCTGTGTGTGCTGCTTCGATGTCCGGTGGGTTCAGTGGGGCCGGTCTACTCAAGAGTTCCTTAAATTGTTCTACCCTCTTATCCCTCTGTCCTTGAATCTCAGCAACTGGCTCATCTTTTTTAACCTTGACCAGTCTCTGTTTTTTTTGTGTTTCCCTGCCAGTTTCTTCGTTTTCTTACATAGTTGTTTCATATCTCCTGCACTTGTAGCATTATCCATTGTCATCGCTAGGTCTTCCACGTACTTTTGCTTGTCAGCTCTAATGCCCCTCTTCACCTGCTTGTATCCTTCAGTGTATTAGAATCGTGTATTGAATTTTTGTGCTCTTGTTCGGCTGTTATTAATTACTGTCTTCTTATTCCTTCTTTCTTGAATCATATCCACGGTCTCCATTACAACGATGCTTGTTGAGGTCCAGGACCTCCTGACATGTTGAAGTCAGTGGTCAAGTCCTTACGATCGACTACTACGGCCTCTCGTAAAACTGACCTTTGTCGTCGTCTTTTCTATCATTGGTGGATGCATAACATTGGATAACATCCATTGTGATTTCCTCCGTCCTTGTTTTGGAAGATGCCTTGATGATCCTGGGTCCATGAGATTCCCATCCTGAAACTGCTTTACGTGCTTCTTTGGACAGCATCACAGCGACTCCCTGTGTATGTAGAGCATTTCCCTCTTCATGACCAGAGTACAGCATCATCTCTCCCGAATCTATACTTTTCTGTCGAGCTTGCGTCCAATAGGTTTCACTGATTTCGAGCATCGCCAACTTGTATCTCCTCATTTCTGCAGACATTCAATTGGTTCTCCTGGTCTCCCACATTGTCCAAACATTCCATGTACATATGAAAATTGTCGCTCTGGTTGTTAGAAGGGGCAGCGGTTCCATGACTTCAGAAGATTGTCGGCTTTCACTATGAGTCATAATTCTTCTGAATGGAGATCTTTCAACTCGGAAGGCAGAATTTAAATGGTTTAATTGGTTTATTCTGGTTAATATTTTTTAGCAAGATTGTTTTATACGAAATGGGGTTACTGAACCCATGTCCAACCCTCCTCCTTCACCAGGACTTATGATCGGCAGTAAGCATACGTAAACATACAAAAATATTTTCATTAAAACACAATAGCTCTAAGAACAGATGTTTCAATTTATGATAGATATGAAAGACATTAGGAAATTAATCAATATTTTTCTAACTTTTACCGTTGTTTAATTAACTACAGGATTACTGTTGAACATTAAACATTTCAATGAAAAATTGATTGTTAGCAATGAAATATTGTCTCTAGTTAACTAGTTAACACATAAAATATTTGATAAGGTTTAATGTGAACCATTCTAATTGTATTTGTCATTTTTATGTCAATTATAATCAATTTTTATGCATGTACACAAGTTTAGTTTTATGTACTTTATTGTTACGTTGTAACTTTTAAAAAGTCGATTTTTTTTGAATAGTCAAAATGTACTGTGTCACAAGTTGGTTTTTTCACAACTTAAATATTAATCTTTTACTAGAAACTAAAAAAATTTAAAAAAGAGGATAACAAGATGATTTACTTCAAGTGAACGAATTAAAAAGTCGACAAGTTTCGTGAAGAATGTTTCAATTTGTAGGTGGTGGTCTTTGCTCCACACTGTGACCACAGTTGTGGTAACAAACTAGCTGTCTAGTTATTTAGTGCTCGCGACAAGACCTGATTGTTTTGAGTTAGATCTTTAATGAGGTTGTAGTTGTATACTAGAGAGTTTGATACTAGGATAAAAAAGATATTCGGTAATTTATAGTTTTTAATGGTATCATAACTGAGGTCATTCTCTGACGAGTACCATATACAAATTGAAAAGTCATTTAAAATCTTTAAAATATGTGCTATGATCTTGTAACAGTAAATCTTAAGTTATCAACAATTGTAGGATTATGCACATAGTGTAGTTTATGGAGAGCAAGTGAATTATTAAGTTACACAACCTAAATTTAGTAGTCATATTATATCATCGAACTAACCACTATCAAGATTACGAATTTCGGTTTTTTTTTCTATGAAATTCAGAAAGTAAAGTCTGCTATTCTCCACTATATGAAGCGCATTATAGAAAATACATTTTTATGGTACACAGACTACTTCGAATTTTCGAGAGAAAATCTATACGGTAAAAATAACAAACAGAAAAAAACTGATTCCATATTTCGTTTGATGCATATTTTATAGAACAAAAAAAATCAATGAATAAGTATCGATGCCAAGGTTGGACTCGATAGTTTCAAATAAATTGAGCATTGCGTAGAAAGTTAACAATAAATGTTTTTGTAATATCCCAATGAGTAAAAAAATTGTATTTTTGACGTTTCGTGACTTAATGTAAGTCACTTCTTCAAATTAAATAAATAACCGCAATTAAATTAACACAAGTCTAAATAGTACAAAGAAAATAGTCGATAAATATTTGTTCTTTTTTAAACAAATTATCCGGTTAGCGATTCAATGATGAGTAATATGTGTTATGGTGTCGTATGAATGCCACAACAGACCAACATTTTCATATTCGATATTACAAAACACAATTTGGTTGACTGTTAAAGATACATTTTAAAAAAGAAACAAATATTGCAAGGGCAGTCAGAATTGATTTTTATAACTAATCATGGCTTTATAAAAGATATAAAAACTTGTTTTTATTAAGACAAATGAGTAGATGTAGCGAAATCTCCCTCGTATTAAAATGCAGAAACCTATTATAAATTTTGAATATCCAATCGGTTCGTGAAATAATGAAACTCATCCGGTTTTCATTACATTCCTATCGAAATATTATTGATTTCTAAGAAACGTTTACTCCCTGACTAAAAGTAGTATAAAAACCTCTAAGTATTGCATAACTTCCGAAACACACATTTTTATCTCCAAACCTAAACAATGCTCTGATACTGAAAACATTGTCAATAATACCTGATTTAAGGAAAATTGACACAATATTACCAATAATTTGTAATATATGGACCAAAAACTAAATACTTTAGAATAGAAGTAAAAATAAAACAATAAGTCATAGGACAATCGACGTATTGTAGAGATTCTCAGCAAAATGTGATGATTATTTAACAAATTAAACCAATTCTATCATTACAGATAGCAGAAGCCTAATTATACAGAGTGTGAATATGACCAGAAGTGAAAATATCTTTTACTTCCTAATTAATTTCTACTTTCATCAACAGTGACTAATAACAATTTCTTGTGGTTAAGATAACATATACAAATTTGAAACACGTAAACATTACGGCTACTAAGAAGTGACCTAGATAAAATATCTTTACGTTCTACACTAAATTCATTTTACCGGAAACTCAATCTTATTATTAAGAATAAGCTTAAATCTTGTAACCTCCAAGTTCGATTCAAGGTCGTTAGACATCTGATCACATCTTAGTAACCAAAATAATACAATTTGCTTAGAGAACATTTTATTAAGTAAATTCCTTTAGTACAGTAAACAACATTTATGCACTTTTATTATTATTAATAACAGCAAGTATATAGAAAATGAAAGAAAGTGAATTCAACTTATTAACTAGTGGTTAACTATTATGATGCAAAAGAACAACACTGATCTCAAAATGAATAGTTTATTAGGACCGTTATTCACTTTATATACCGCGTTTATATATATATATATATTAAAGATGACAGCCAGAGAAATCACAAAACGTCTAAAGGGTGTGTCGAGAGAAATGTTCAATGAATCAGGGTTATGTTCTTCGTTTTACGGACAACCAGTGGCGACTTCGTGAAATAACGATAGCCTCCCTTGCTTCAGCAGTGTTATAAACAGTTACCAGTTCGACTACACTTGTGTAGTCAGCTATAATGAATATACGAGTAGGTAAGTTCATTACCTCATTTGAATTACGGATGGGAGATAGATGATAATAACGCTATCCAAGTACATCTAATAAACAACAAATGTATCAGTGATTTTAAGGTGGCTTTCACAGCTGCATATCGAGTTTCATCCAACATTCACTATGCTTCCAGATTTCGCCCTTTGGACATTGCAGGAATTGTAGAAATCGACATAAACAAGGGCAACCTACGGGTCTAGTCACTTTTATTATTCCGATCATGTCTGTAGGTGACTTGTTTCAAAATGACTGGGTAGCCTCAAACTTTACCACTCTAGCATTCGTCCAAAAACCTAAATCAAATACTTTCCAACCCACTGTAATTTCCACGGACAGGATTAGATTTATATACTATGTCAATTAACTCTCAATCAAATGACTAATACTGATTTATATTCGGCTGTTAAACTAACAAATCGTTGTAGAGTCGAGATGAAAACCTACTTAAAAATGAATACTTTCAGATTCTTTTATGAATTAAACCTTGAAGTATCTAGTGTCTTAATAAATTAATTATGAGGTTAGTGGCCGACTTGGAACCTTTAAAATATATTTTTTCCTAAGCAATTTCTATAACATATTTTGAGACTTAATCGAATTCACAGACTTAGGATTGTAGCATTATCTTCGTTTGGTACGTTGAGATACAGATTAAAACGCTAGATATAAATGTTGGCAAAATTACGGAAACGGTTAATGATTAGTTAGTGAATATCTTTGACTAAAACGCTGAAGGATGTGATTATAGTTCAGAAGCACCAATTTCCATTGAGTTCACACATATATATAAATACGAAACCTCGTTGAAACAGAGCATCTGACTGTTAACAAAAAAATAAAATCAGGAATAATTATAAACTATCGTAAATCCTAATGACTGTAGACAGGTTTCAAAAAAACAACATAAAGTATGTGGAAGATGGAAAGAAGAGTTAGACTGAAAACCACAGGTGAGATCACTTAAGAACTTACGTTCGAAAACAGTTATCTCCAGTCAACTGTCGCAGACAGAATGAAATTGATAACAGAGAATTGTCCTGACGCTTACGTTTCTCATCATAACCTTCTAAAATGTATCTACGACGGTTAATTACATTTCCAACAGCAGCGAAACATGATAAGTTGATACTGACAAAACCAACTTTATGAAATGATTTTCCACCCTTTGTTTCCTACGAAAAATAAAAGTTAGATAGATGACATCAATGTTAAGTGTGATGAAAAAATTATATGATCTTATTATATTTATGCGTATGGTAGCTTAAAACTAATATCCCTTCCAACAAATGGTTTTGTTTTGCAGACAGATACGTTGCCGACTGATCAGAAATCGAAACATTTAACTCAGTAGCTACATATATAGCTATATATATATATATATATATATATATATATATATTTCACAATTGGCTTAGGAAGACGATCATCACAATAGTTAACAATCCTACTCTTCTACGCACAAGAGAGTATGTGAATTGAAGTAGGTATACTAACAAATTTGGCAAAACGTTGATTGTGAAGGTAGTGTCTGGTTTGAACCAATATGTAAGCTTATTACATTACGACAACACAGAACACTGATTTAACAATAAAGGTATAAGTTTATCCCAGTACGGGAGGCGAAAAAAGGCAAACATCTGAATTTATGGGCCATTTTGAGTAGCTTTGACGCGAACAATTTGCAGTTAAAGTGATCTGAAGAACACACATAGACTAAGAATTTACCACGTAAATGTTTACATTAGTATTTGGTGAATTCCATAGAGATGTCATGTCTCACACTAGTCCTTCCATTGCCTTATGTGAAATTCAATTCCAAATAATCATTTGACTGTAAATTCTTAAACACCATGTATGCTTCAAAGTGCGATCAACGACCAGAAGATAGCCGCGTGGGTCCCTAAGCTAACTTGGAACCGAATTTAAAGTTGATTGATCCTTTAAATATATGATAAACACAAATACAAATAAACGATTATATCGGTAGTATAAATCATGACTACTGTATGGATAGTCATACTACATGGAGGCTTTAACCTCAACTAGAGAAGAAAACGTGTCGAATATAACGTACGTGAACCACATAACTAAGGAAACAACTTTACTAAATCGTATGATGTATTTCGAACCATCTCGTTTGTGTACTGATCTAGTTAACAATTTCAAAACGAAATCATATTTGGAGAACTTCAACTCATACCGATTTGGTTGAAGTCTAGACTCAATATTTTATTTTTAAACGTAAAGAAACGGACAGAGAAGTAACGGATATCTGCTTTTTTTATCAGAAAGATACACTGGTACTAGAAAGTGAAGACATTGATGAGGCGGAAGCCCTATAAGAGTATCTTTTTTATTGTTTTCGACTGTCAATGGTAGTTAAACACAAGGCAAACTTTCCGAAAGATTTTTGAATCATATAGGCGGTTTGTAAAGAATTTAGCAACTTGAATGATGATTTGTTGTAAATATTAAGCACGAAGAACATGAGAGTAAAAACCTCGTTTCGTATATGCAGTAAATGCGCTATAAATTCAATGGTTGAAAGCGTGAAGCCTAACATAAGATATTAAGTTACTTTTCCTTAAATCTGAAGACATTAGCTTGAAAGTCAATACGAGAACCACTCAAGCTATGTGAAACGAATATATACAGATATATTTACTATAAACAACGGTAATAACAGCCTATACTGCAAAATAACAAGCCTCATTCGGAAGGGTTAAAGTTTTTAGTTTTTATAAAAATTAAAAAGCAGGTCAACCAATCTACTCGTCAATGAAAACTAAGTAGCTATATCAAAAACTCGGGTTATGAAATTCAAACAAATAGAAACTTGCCATGCGGATAGACACTTTAAGAATGTTTGGATCTAAAATAGAAGTCTCAGCATTGCTTTTGAATTTGCAATGAAAACGATGTTCACTGTTCCAAGTTACAATATTATTTCGAATTTCAGTTCTGAACGGTTAGTAGCAAGTATAAACCAACCTGGGAGAGTATTGAGCAGAGCTTCGACTGTTCAAAAGCCGTAGCTTCGCGAAAGTGACGGAGTTGACGTAAGGAACAGCTGTCAAACTGTGCAGCTTTACTAAAACTTCAAAGTTATAACACTGCTGTTTATTGAACAGAGGAACGCATGCCATATCCATAAGCAAGTGACATTTATAAGTGACTTTATATAACTAAACATGCATAAATGTGTGAAAATTTTAAAGCTATCCCAATCCTTAGGGCTAGGCATAATGCCTTAACATATTCATTCTTATTCCGCAAGGGTTTGAATGATTGAAGGTCGTCCAACTTTCAATGTATTCAAATAGTATGTATTTGTTTAAACGGTTGTGTAGTGCATGGAACAATTTTTAAATTAGCTGGATTCCGTATCTAGTAACAGTAGAATATCGGTACCTCTAGGTGAAAGCGTTGTTATATCTGAAGATAAAAAGAGAAGAAGTAAATAATGTGGAATAGTGTCTTGAATACCTAGTTCAAATGGTTCAAATGGTTGAGGACGGAATAGAAGAAGCTTTCGCGTAACGGGCTTCCGTGTCTAGTAGCAGTGGATCACCAATACCTCCAGGCAAAAACCTATCTACATTAAGGATAACAGAGGGAAAAAATGAATTTGGTAAATCATAATAATATGTTATCCCTAGTCCTTAAGAATAAGTCAAGTTTCCTCTTAAAGGACTCCTGGGAAGTCGCTTGGAATAGCATAGTCGGCAGCAAATTCCAACATTTGACAACTCTTACGGAGTAGAAGTTTTATTTGCAGTCTGTTCTGCTATGTTGGGTCTCCAGTTTCTGGGTGTTACCTCTTAAGTTAGTGTTGTGACTAAGCTCGAGAAGATTTTTGAGGGGATGACCAGAAGTGTTAAGGTCACTGTAAGTCATGAGAAAGTCACCTCTAAGACGTCTGTACTCTAACGGGTAAAGGTTAAGTGATTAGAGGCGCTCTTCATAAGGTTTGAATTTGAGTCCCCAAACTGATTTTGTGAGCTGGACGTTGGATACGTTTCAGAGTGTCCTTATCCTTTTGGAGGGAGGAAATACTATGTTTCCATACTCTAAATGGGGACGAATAAAACTGTTGAAGATTATGTGGAAGGTTCTTCCATCAAACTGGCCAAAAATGCGCTTCAATGTTACCAGTGCAAGGTTTGCTTGAGAGGCGTTTTTGTTACAGTTCGCATACGACTTCAGGTCGTAGGGTACCAACACTCCTAAATCTTGTTCGACTTGGGAAACTTCTTGAGAGGATTTACCTAAGTTGAAGCTATAGTCTGCAACATGTCTCAGATGGACTACCTTGCACTTTGAAGTGTTAAAGGTAAGTCCGTTGTCGTCTGCCCAACTTTGAAGTCGAGTCAGACCCTCCTGAAGTACTAATATATCCTTATGGTTACGTATCTCTTCCTCCAAAGTTTCACATCATCAACGAAAAGCAATAAGTCAGATGAAACTTGTTGAGGAAGATCGTTAATGTAAATCAAGAAGAGAAGAGGTCCTAGTATTGAGCCTTGGGGGACCCCACTAGGACATTCCATAGCCTGAGAGAGAGTGAAGTTAACCCTGACCTTAAAGTGTCGGTTTTCTAAATATGAAGAGAGCTAGTCAATCAAAGGGGGTTTGATACCCAATCGTCTAAGCTTATTGATAAGACATACGTGGTTGACCCTATCAAAAGCTTATGATAAATCCAGGTAAATGAGGTCAAACTTCCCATTGCGATCAAGGATGGTTGTCTATCTATCCACCGCATTCAGCAGGTTGGTCATACAAAATGACCTTTTCTGAAACCATGGTGTTGAGGTGAGAAGAACTTTAAAGATGATAAGTATTCTTATATACGACGGTATGTAAGAATACTTATCATCTTTAAAGTTCTTCTCACCTCAACAGCAAGGTTTTTTCTTGAAGAACTCCTAGAACTTCTAGAACCTCTTCCGTCGACGGCGAATTATAGAATTTGACGACTCTTTAAAAGTGGAAGCTGTCTTTGTTATTAGTTTTTGTCTCGAACCAGTGGAAACTACTTCATTTCTTTTCTCTCTCTTCATGCTTTTTAAATACGGTTCCAGGTGAATTAGTTTACCTTGTATCGAATCGATCCGTTCTACGATAGCATTCTTTTTAGAACAGACAATTATCGCTTTATGCGGCAGTCGACTTGCTATATGTTGTGCGGAAAATCTAGCAATTCGATTAGAAAGTAGCAGGGTAAAGACGGAAGCGAAGGTGCGAAGGCGGACATGGTCATTTGTTTGTACAAAAAATTAAAGTAACCAATCAGATGATTTTAAAGAAAATATAAGAACATGTTTAATTAAAGTTAAAGCTTGTATATAGGTTGCCGATAATAGTGTAGCGGTAAATAAATCCCTAAAATCAGTAGCTCTGTGAGTGTTCGACAATGGATGCTGACCACATTAGTTTTAATGAACTCATTTAGCTGTAGGCGCTCGGCCATGCATCCGCACCAGATCACGTTTTGGAATGGCGTGCGCAACATCTACTGCGATCACTAGCCAGTTTTGATCAGTTTATGCTCGATATATTGATAATCTATTAAATATATCTTCAAACCTCCTCGCTATTTTGTATTAAGTTTCCGTTTTTGTACTCGAACTGCGTCTTTCAATTTTCAAAATATATCTGTTGTACCAGTACACCGTATTCTTACTTCAGTGGCATTTACTGGTTCTGAATGTTGCGTTGTTGTTTCAGGTCGTCCCTGCTCCCAAGTAAACGCTAATTTATAACGTGCTACAAGAGTATAAACAGACTGAATGAACACAACTATACTCACTGTATATAAAACGTGTTGGAAGCCACAATTACTTTGGTTGTGCAAAGCATGCCGTACTACAAACTCTTTGCAGATTCTTGAGGCGATTTATCTTCTCAACTTAGTCAAAAACATTCCTTCAGATAAACAGCCAACTTTATATTAGCACCTGTCAGATTTTGAGGATGCAGTGAGCGTTATAGTGATTCCAGCTTTAGACTTTGATGAAGCCATCAAGGTGAACGTCAGCAACGTGACGGATAACAAAAACACAGGCACGCTAAGAAGAAACAAGTTACAGAGAGCTTTGAAATGTATGGATTGACGGTTTTAGTCGCAGATTTCCATACCAACGCAATACACGATCGAAGCCTGAACGTTGTAGGTAATTTGGTCAGAAAAAATATGGGTCGGAAATTGGCTTAAAGCAGTGTGGAATTATGGTCTGGTTCGACAGTAATACATTTATCCTTGTCACTATGTAGGGCCGATAAAATGTCACTGAGCCTAAACCAATTCACACGGCAGTCGGTTCACGGAATGTCTAACAGTTCACTAATTCTCGTCAGGGTCAAAGGCAACGTACACGCACCAGTCAATCGCACTTCATTGACTGTCCCATGAGGTGGTGATAACACTCTGTTCATTTTACGTACTCTTACTAATGTGTTTTTTGTAATGACGCCATTTGTATTGTACCGTCATTGAAACTGCCACAGCACCTAGATACAACGAAGGGTATAATCCACCTTAAGTACTAATCGCGAGTTGTGGCTTTGGCGTTAGCTAGTTGATCACACCATTCCCATCTAACTTGGTTAAATCCTAATCATTTCACACAGATTGTCTACTTGGATAATTGATGACTACAATAATAGATTCAATCACAGAATTGTAGATTTGACATCATGTGACTAACTAATCCATGATATTTTACGCAGATTTCATATCGTTGTCTACACTGACTGTCTCTGCAAGACAATCAGCAATATGACGATCAGCACTTCTGTATAACACTTTTGGGCTGGAAAGAGAATAATACATTCAATATAAAAAGCGAGGGGTTACACAGAGTTACCACGCCTGTACAGTCGAGCCATGTCATTTGGATTACTGTTCCCGCATTCACTACTTCGACGTTCTTTAAGTGTCACATGTTGAGTATGAAGCTCATCAGTAATTATTTGTTCAGCTTAGAGAATCGTGTGGTTAGAAACAAATACCTCTACAGTAGCGCTTAGAAAATCAGGGAAAAAGAATGGGACTTGCACGCCTGAAGTCAATTCGGACTGCAGAGATGAGGCGAGTTTATCAAACAAATCTTCACAGCTTACAAATGGATCTCACTGAAAGGCTAGCCAATTTTTACACGTTAAAAGAGTCTTCCTAAAAGGAATCAACATGATCTGAGCCATATTAAGTCATTAATAACCAAACTACTCCCAGAAACAGTAGCAGAACTAAGCATCCATAAGGCTAATAGAATTTGACAAAGTAGATTCTGAAGGTACTCATACAAGCCGCGTCTTCATAGTTACCTTTGATTCTGTTGAAGGAAGAAACTCCACACTCAAAAACTCACACAAACTGACTGGATCAAGAATATATGTCTGTGAGGATCTCAGACCAGTTAATCGCATTGAGAAGTGATCGGCAGAAATAGAATCAAACGAGAGCTGCTGAAACAGTAAGAATGTCTTATACCTAAAAGTTTTCACATTTTGAAAGTCTGGAGCTAAACTATATCCGGATTAATCTGGATGGTACGGGAAGTTTTTTCACAGAACTAAAGGCATGCTGAACAAATGCTTGCAGCCGACCAAATAAAATAGCGAAGCTCCGAAAGGTGTTGGACGCAGAAAACCCTTTTGATTGCCATTTCTGAAACATCGTTAACATCAGAAGTGCACGATGACGAAATTCAGTTGCATTGTTTCTTACATTGTAGGGCTGACAAGCTAAACCGTAGGGGTGGTGTGGTTATACTGTGCATGAAAAGCACCTTGACCGAACAAGCTATCGAGACAGTGACACACGACTCAGGTACATATGAACTGATGAGCTCACGGTTGAAATGTAAAGTGCAAGTCATTGGATTGGTTGTAGTATACCACAGTCAAAAATGTTTAGTGTATGACATCCTCCTGATCAAACTTAAATCCTAGTCAAGCGTGTATAAAAGCCTTAAAGTAGGTGGTTTTAATGAACTTTCTGTAAACTGGTGAAACTTAGAAGCGGAGTCATCCACAAATTCGTTTGATTACAAGTTGTCGATAACCACGTTCACTGTAGCTTCACTCCAGGATATGGAGATCTTATCAGATTTGACCTTCAAAACTTATCTGTCTTGAACACATAGTGGTGATGTCAGCCAAACAAAGTTCCTCTCACCTAAAGGGAGGAATGATCATGTGGCCATCCAAGTCAAATTCATGGCTGATATGGTCTGTCAAGCAGTTACGCTGACCCGTTCTCACACATATAAAGCAGACATGAAAGTAATACACACAACAGCCTCGACCAAAATCTAGGAAGTTGACTCATGTATGTCAGTAGAAGAGGCACTGACTCATTTGATTAATTAAGGTGTTATACAAAAGACAAGTAAATGTTCAACATTCCATCATTCAAAAAAATATATGAATGCTTTCGTTTCTTCTGTCTGCCTGTATAAACAAATAGAAGACTAACAAGCAAAGAAAGAGAGTCAATGTTGATAACTTAAATTTAGTAGCTGTAAAATTCTGTAGATTTATTACAAATAATAATCAGTAAACAGTTTAAAATATTCTTTTTAAATAACAATTCACATGCTATTGAATCTTTGTTAATTAACTGTTAACAATTGTATATTCATAATGGTGTGCATTGAAATCTAAAAATCACTAAATGAAATCTAATCATACAGAAGTGATCACTGATTAACCTCAAGTAGTCATCTATTCGATTCTGTAACCACGCTTCAAGTAGACAAGACTATTAATAACTATTTAAATCTCACCCTAACAAAGATTCTTGATTGTAGTAAAGCAATTTGCAATAGACATCTTTCTCAATACTTCTAGCAGCACTTCAGATGGCTTTCCAAAAAAAGGATGAACTTACAGTAGTTCCATATTAGTTAAAGTCGTAGAAGAAGGATTATCAATTGAAGATGTTCATTCAACTTTGTTTTTATTTAATTTTAGTGAATAAATCAGATTATGAATAATTGCTCTAATTTTTTTATTATTCTTAATCAATAAATGGGAGGAATAATTGATTTTAGCATAATAAAATAAAGGGATGAATTTATTTCCAAATCTCAATAAGTTACTAGTTGTAAGACAATTCTGAGGTAAATGAGAGAACATTAAATGGAAATGATGACAGAAATAATGATGTCTAGGTCAATAAATCATAAAAGCCAGGTTACAGTATTTGTAATAGATAGTTTAAATGCCTTTTTGTTACTTGCATTACCATGTAAATCGTGAATCCTACAAATATATATTCTCAGCTGCTATACCTATTTCAGATTTATTTGAATGCTACTCAATTATGTATACCCTAATATTCTGTTGATAATGAGTTACGTATTCAAAAAAATTATACTCAGTATCATGACATCAGCTGATGAATAAAAAACAATTCGATAAAAATTGGCAGACAAAATAAATAAGAGAGTAAAGTATATTTTGTGTAATCGAAATTGTTTTGAAAATAGGAACCGGTAAAAAGCAGCAGAATAGAAATGTCAGTTAAAAATTAACAGATTATTTGAGAGATTGACAACCAGTGCTCTCTTAAGCTTGGCTTAAAAATAAAAACTGATTTCTATCAATTATAAGCAAAGATGGATAGTGGCTAGCAGTGGAATCCAGTACGCGCGTTTTGTCCTATTCGGGGCTCGTCGGCTATCAGGACTCAGTAGCTGAGTGGATAACGCGATGGCGTTTGAAGCGAAAGGTACTCGGTTCGAGTCCCAGAGTGAACATCAACTCTGAGATGCAGGAACATCCAGCTGACGAGTCCCAAATAGGGTGAAACGCGCGTCCTGGATTCCACTGCTAGCCACTATCCATCTTTGCTTAACATGCTTGTGAATTAAGGCTATGTCGAGGCAATACGCACAGTATGCACATATGCCAATTAGAGACTGACCAGTTGCAGTCCTAAACATCAATGTGAAGATTCAAATAAACAATAGTAAATGATTTCTATCAATTTGTAGAAATCATACCTTAAAGCATAACTATGTGCTTGAACAATTTAACTAGAAGATTAATCAAGGTAAGAGTAAATCAGTTATTATTTGGAGGTTAAATTTATACAAAGATATTCATTCTAATGAGAAAATGAGGAAATATACAATATATAGGGATTTAAGCTCAGTTACATGAAGCTTCATTCAGAAAATATTATTAAAGGTGTGAAACAACTTCGAGAAAAATATTTTACTCGTAAATAACCTTGAATGAATGGTCATAAAAGCTTTCAAAATCAAAAACAAGCTATTTCACTAGTCTTCGAATTAGATTACTTATGAGAACCTTATCCATCAGTCTGAGTGTTATGTAGTAGCAAAGACACAAGTACGGGTAACTTGCAGGACCTACTATTGGACTATCATTCTTATTGTATAACTATTCGGTAACTAGATTATCTAAGCTTTATTTTGACCTATTGATTATTACTATATGATTTACTGTCCCTATGTTATACTCAGTTTTATTGATTATTGTCTCCCACGCTTGCAGCCTCATTTGGCCTGGTTTTGTACAAATATTATTTTCTATTATATGGTATGATGTGGCCTGTCTGTCTGGTATATAGATAAAGTATGTTTGAAATAAACGATTCGCATTACAGCAGCTGCTATTGGTGTTTTGGACTCAAGTGGACGGGTTAGGCGGATAAGGACCAATAAGGACGCTAGATTACTCATACTAATCGAACGTCATTGTCACAGTGTGAAGGTCGTAGAAGGCGTGTTCTATTGGTGGATAATTTACGCAAATTACGTCCTTGTTAAATTCGTAAGGTCATAACGAATCAGCGACGACCTTGGTCAAGTCATAACAATTGGCTACAGCCTAGATCAAAAACATAACAAATTGGCGACAGCTAGGTCAAGTCATAACACTGAGGAAACGAATTACTGGATTCTGCTGATAGTAGTTCATTCATATGATTCTGAATATATTAACAGATGAACTATGCTCCCAGTGAACGTCTGCTTAAATGAAAAAAAAACATTAAAGTAATCTGTGGTGATTGACAGTTTGTACACTTTAAAGATTTGACTATCACTTATTTCAATCTGTGACCGATCAGTATCAGAGTATGATATTGATGATTTCGAATTCGGACGTTTTTAGTAGTCATAGTTATGTATTGTTTACGTGTTATTAAGTTATTTCCAATTCGTAGCAATATATAAACATTACAATTGGTGTCGTTCTAAATACAAACTAAAATCCTTGGAAAGTTACCGATAAACAGTTCACCGTGACAGGTCTAAGACTTCTTATAATGTTATGATAACTGGTATTCACTACATAATCTTGACGCTGACAAAATTCTATTTCACGACTACTTCTGGATGCAAAGAACCTTGTATTTCTTCATTAACCCATATCTTTTCTATTTGATGAGTGAAAGTTATTACTAGCTGATAATCTTCACATATTATCGTTTGAAACACGTGAAAAGGGATATTTTTAACAAATTACCTTTTGCTCCGAATAAAATCAAATATTCCGCTACATGGTTTCGAGCTTAAGCCCATAAATTTATGTTTGGTGACCGACAGAATATCCAACTCCTTGATTGCTTCCATAAATAATCATAAACTGAACAAGCAGCTTATACTTGTCAAATTGTTAAGTATTTCTGTATTACTAATGATCCTGCTGATATTTGTATGATACCACTTGGTTTGTTATCAATGGATGCAAATAATCTTATCACTGCACAAAAGTTCAAGATTACTTGAGAAAGAAATCTACTTCAATGTCGTCATCAGGTATTTTACTGATTAGCTTGTGCCTTACTCTTCCTGGTTTACTAGATAGAGTGAGAGGTTCAAGCTTTTATAGCAACTTCATTTGATAGAGCCTACAATTTATAATTATATTCAAGTATATATAGTTCAATTCAATGATTACTAATTATAGAATTTAATCAAACAGAGCAATAGTCACCGAAAACAAAATCATAGTCAATTAATCAACGCTATGAAAATTAATTGAAAATCAAATGACGGATTGGATATTCAATAGATTGATACAATTCGAAATTCAGGGAATTGGTAAGCAAAATATACTATGAATTAATTCATACAAAGAATGTGTAGTGAAAGTTAATTGAACGGAAATCTCCTAAAATCGATATACAATTTTTGAAATTGATTTTCTTCCTTATACGTTGGATTTAGAGGTTTAACTTCCTCAATATTTCTCCAAGTTAGTAACGACGAAGTTTTGGATTTACCTGGAGCTGTATTGTATTTCTTTTTGCTTTCAAATCCAGCTCAGAAGTACGAGTCGCTTAGCTCTCTTCATGAGTTAACAAACTGAAGAAATCAAGTAGGATATCTAGTAGTATTTTGGCGGTGGTAAATAAATCAGGAACATTTCCTTTATGCAATTGATTACATTATCTAGTTCATCTGTCGCTTCCTACAGTTACTTCACACAATACCCTTCATTATCATTTTGTTATCCCCTTGAATCTATAGATCACGGGCAGATACTGGTGTTCCAACTTAGTGAATTCGGTTTACTCTCTGGCATCCACTGGTGATAAATTTTGGGGGTCACTTTATTAGGAATGGTGTAATATATAAATAACACATTTCCAAGTTTTTCGGAAGTCCTCTTCCTTTTGACTTTAAAAAATCTCGCTTCAAAGCATCGACAAAACATATAGCCTATTCGAAGGGGATTTGTGGAGATTTCAGTATCTTTCAAAGTTGAAATCATATAGCCTATCCATTCGATTGTGGATGGCATGTTAGGGATTGCAAACGGTTTATTTCATGACGACAGAGAAATTCTGTGAATTGTTCCTTCTTTGAATTTAGACACGTTATTTAATACTGTCGTATCTAGCTAATCATTGGTGCGGGGAATTACTATCAGTACTTAAAGAGTTTTTTGGTAGACAGTGACATCATGGAGAGAATCTCTACACATTTTGTGTAGGCATCCAAGAGAATCATATATTTGATGTCATCGATCAGGCCCACAAAATCTATGCGTATGTCAGACCGTGGGGTTGTTTAATTTCCCCCCCTTTTGGGAACCGGAGTGGTCATTCATAAATTCCCAAATCTGTTAATCCACAAGCGATCAATAAGAAAAACTCATAGTTATCCACTTCATAGGATTAATACCTGGGTGATCACTATGATACTGCAATAGTGGTGTGTGTGGCTAGTGGAAGTAAAATGTGATTGATCACTGGGCGTAGGCGCGTATACATTCAATTTATTGACAATTTAATATATTATTTCCTCCCTATCATTAATTTCTACTCTAAGCTTATTAAGTGTAGACTGTCTAATTCTGATGAATAAAGTACTGTCTAGCATATACTCTGATTCTCTATATTTAGTCGTTAATTGTGTACCCGATATAACGTGATCCCCGTTCGTATAAAGTACATCGATCATGTCTAGTCTGATGGTAGTTCAATCGCGTTCACCGATCGTATTAACCTATAGTAGTAGTTTATTGAGGCAACAGAAAATAACTTTATTCTCCTGTTATCTCACACACAAGACACTAAGCATTTTTCTCAATTAGTGGATTGGTACTTAATGTATATTGAGTTCATTAACTGATACTGGCGAACCCGTACAGCGTTTAACAAATGAAACTCTAAGTATTCTTATGTGAAGAGCGCGACCATGACTTTTCAATTCTTAGTAGGTTAGTTGCTGAATAGGGAAATACTCGTTTGAAGAGTTGTGAGCCACAATACTAGATCTCTAAGTCATATCCTAGAGAGATCAGTCCCCAACGCTGTAGTTGATTAGATGTGTGCTCAGCAATTACCAACTTTAGAGCACATATTGTAAACTCTGGCTTATGATCTGTTAGTAGAATAAATCTTCGACCAAAAATAAACTTGTAAACCGGCGATCTAAAAAAACCCAGAGTAGTTGTCTCATCCATCTAGCTGTATTTCTTCTGTACTGGAGGCAGTGTTCATGACGCGAACCTGATTACTTTCCCTTCCCCGTCTTTGAATAAGAGTGATATAACTGCGCTATGATGATAACGCTGCTATGATGACTGGTATGGTAGGATCATTAAAAGTTGGAGACAATAATAATTCTAGGGGTCATTTATTTATCAATAAATATAAAAGAAAAAGGGTTATAAACTATTAAAAACAGTGCAAAATATCTGCCAAATTAAACAAGTGTAAAGTTGACGTCATTCTGTCTTTTACTAGATTAATTTATAGTTAAAATATTGATTAATAAGTGGATGTAGTATTGAACTAAGAAATCAGCTAAACAATTATCTATATACTAATCAATCTTCAAGAAGCACTATTCCTGTAAAACTCCCTTCTGGTTATTTATTTGAAGGAGAATCAAAACATAAACTATTGTCACTGGTTATTTAAATGGATATTGAGAAGTTAACTCAGAAAGTAAAACAATATAATCTTAGAAATCTATTTAATGATTTTTTTCTACATAATCCAAAGTAATTTTTTGGAAATGCCAAATAACTTATAGTGATGACCAAGGTAATAACTATAATAAAGAAGTTCCAGATATGAACAAATTTTTTCTATACAAAATTGACCTCATTGTTTGATGACCCCCATGAATGTGGACTTTAACTTTCACAAGTTTATAGTCATTTACATATACAAATACAAATAGAGGGTGTGAACAAGTAACATTTAGTTGACACGATTTACACTTAAGTTGTTTGCTTAACATAAAGGCCGATAGCAAACAAATTAAGGTGTTTTTGATCGACGTAATAGCCATTATTATCAAAGCCAAAATATAATATTAACTGAAAACAAAGTTCAAATAGAGCGTTGTTTTACATTTCGCTTCAGAAAATTATGTTTAAAAATTATTTTGGATGAAGATTCTGATGGAGGTAGATGACCAGAAGTTCAACAATCAAACTATTGCCTGTTTCGTACTCACTTGCAATGCACATACTAGAGGCTATGGGAGTTCATGATTTCACCCCTGCTTCATATACCCAGATATGGTGTGCTCAAACCCTTCGTTTACCATGGTCCTAATGACCCCCATATTGATTATGTTTATCTTTTCCGATTTAGTTACTTGCTGTATGATTTGAATGGTGCAACGAAAGAACGAAGTTTATCAGAACTATGTGATTGATATTTGTGTAAAACATTGTGAACCATCTAACCACACATACTTATTAAGATATTTAAGAAAAACTAAAGCTCAAATTTGTCAAACATAATAAGAAAAACAGTGTTATCACACCATAGTGAATAATAAACCAATATTATCAGGGTAGGTTCAAGGTGAGATAATAATATTTCTGAAGACAAAAAGGGGGTTTGAATTTTGTTTAACGCTTCAGTAAATCTTAGTATGCGTCCCTAAACACTCATGCAACACTACAAAGACTTTTTTGATATCAACAATATAACGCGTCCTCACTAAATGTTTCATAATGGAGAAAAATGGTTTTCTATCTTGTGTGCTCTTGTTCAACCATTGGAATTAATTTGTCCAGTCACCCCGACATGCGTACCACGATTGCTTTTCCCCATTTATGTGTGTCTGCACATACATGTAAACTGACAGATGAGGTGGGATGTGGTGCACTCGTTAACACGTTTGTTTGGTAAAGCATCAACTTCGATAAGTACGAGTTGGGCTGTGTGAAGCCCTATTTATCGCTAGTTTAACTTCACTTAAATATAAGACCACTTTGAATCACCTCTGAATAATATGGAGAAGTTATCTAGGTACCAGAAGCGTAGTAAATCTCTTACTTACTTACGTCTGTTACTCCGAATGGAGCATAGGCTGCCGACCAGCATTCTCCAACCCACTCTGTCCTGGGCCTTCTTTTCTAATTTTATCCAACTTTTGTTCATTCTTTTCATGTCTGTCTCCATTTCCCGGCGCAACGTGTTCTTTGGTCTTCCTCTTTCCCTTTGGCCTTCAGGATTCCATGTGAGGGCTTGTCTTGTGACGCAGTTCGGTGATTTCCTCAATGTGTCCTATCCACTTCCAGCACTTTCTCCTGATTTCTTCCTCCGCTGGAATCTGGTTTGTTGTCTCCCACAGTAACTTGTTGCTGATAGTGTCTGGTCAACGAATCCGAAGTATTTTGCGTAGACAACTGGTAATAAACACTTTTATCTTCTGCATGATGGCTTTCGTAGTTCTCCAGGTTCCCACCCCATGCAGTAGAACGGTCTTGACATTTGTAATGAAAATTCTGAACTTGGTGTTGGTTGACAGACATATGTTGTAAGTTCCAGATGTTTTTCAGTTATAAATATGCTGCTCTATCTTTGCCGATCCTCGCCCTCACATCTGCATCAGATCCACCATGTTCATCAATAGTGTTGCCCAAATATGTACATCCTCAAAGGCTTACCCGTCAAGTGCAATTCAATTGGTGCATGCAGTATTGTATCGAAGAATCTTGCTTTTTCCTTTGTGTATATTAAGACCTACTGTTACTACACTGGTCGTCTTCTCCTGCATTTGTTATTGCGTGTGATATAAGAGCCAGATCATCTGCGAAATCTAAATCGTCCAGCTGCATCCAAGCTGTCAATCATATCCCGTGCTTCCCTCCAAATCTTGACGTCTTCATTATCCAGTCAATCAACGAAGATATCTATGAGTGCATAAAACCAACAGGATCAATAATACCACGACTATTTGGTTTGCCTAAAATACACAAACCTGGCCTATTTGTCGGACCGATTCTTGATATGCCCGGGTCCCCTTAATACTCTGTAGCAAAGTGGCTGGCAGATCTCCTAGAACCCGATATTCTTGAATTCACTGAATACATAAAAGAAGTGAATGTAATTGACAAACATTTCCTCTCGTTTGATCCTGAATCACTATTCACTAATATTCGACCCACATAGATAATCAGTTTTATCTGAAAATACATAAATAATGAGAGGAATATCGGAATACCGAAAGCTTTTTTTGAAACTACTATTACGATATACTTGTAATGTACAATCTACATTCAACGACGCAATTTATGGGCAAAAAGATGGCATATTAACGGATCCCCCCTCGATTCGTTACCAGAAGATTGCTTCATGGCCAGTCTAGAAAACAAACAACTTAAAACAACTATCGACAACGTCCACTTGTATAAAAAGTACGTGGATAGTTCTATTATTTTTGACAACAAGTACGATTTAAATTATCTTCTAAAGACACCTGATAACTGTCATCCAGCAATAAATTTCACACTTGAAGTTGAAAACAAAGTATTCACTTTTTTGATGTCGAAATGACAAGAAGGACATCTACAGGAAACCCTTGTGGAATAACCAGCTATCAAGTTTCCACAGCTAGGTCACCATTAGTCGAAAGCAAAACTTGATCATATCGCTCGCTACGCGAATACGAAGAGTTTGTTATCCTGAACTGAGCCTCTTGAAGAAAATATTTTTCAAGAATGGGTATCCCACGATATTTATTGTGAAAAATATTAAAATTTTGAATCAGGAATCTATTACCAATTCAGATATTTGTATTATAGGGACAGAAAAATTAAAAGAAAGTGATTAATTCTCATGAGCTGAGAATAAAGCGTAGGATAACTTAGTGACATGTTTGTCAGGACCGGCTGGAAATGAATCGACATCAAAATTATCACGGAAGGATTTCTCCATTCCTTTCCGTTTTCGAAATAACAAAAATAACACGACAGACTATATATGCTTGAATATGGATTGGTCTAAGAGAAGTTATTTAATTTAAGTGGAATAATAATACTAGGAAGAACCATCTGACTAGTGAGCTTCGATTTCCTACGATTGTTTAACTAAACTTAGTTTATAATGTAACCTTCATAAACTTTCTGTAAAAGTATATTAAACGTACAATAACACTTTCTCGTGCTCGTCTGTTGCTATTTGAACAAGTCAACTATGAAAATACTAAATCTCCACAAAAAATCCCTTCTGATTAAAATCATATGCTCACTAGTGACTGGCTTCAAGAGGTAATTCCTGGAGTTCTAGTGAGAAGTCGTGGCCAGTGGAGTTCAAATCACGTCTGTTGTGAGATAAGAACTCACTGAAGACATTGGTGAATGGTTGCTCAACTTCGTGGATTGGTTGAATTTAGACATAAACGCCATCGGATGCCGGCTCAGTGGTCTATTGGTTAAGTGCTCTGGCGCGAGACTGGTAGGTCCTGGATTTGAATCTCGCGAGGCGAGGTCGTGGATGCGCACTGCTGAGGAGTCCCACAATAGGACGAAACGGTCGTCCAGTGCTTCCAGGTTTTCCTTGGTGGTCTAGCTTTAACTGACTCATGCTTTCAACTATAAAATTGAAGTGTTAATAAGTAAATAAAAATGCACGGATTCTTTTGTATAATTTATTTTTTTCCACCACGGATATAATGCGAAGAATAAAGTACAGAAATTTTTCACATGTGAATAACAAAAATAATAAAAGTAATATTATGAAATAAATAACAATATACAAACGTGAAATTTAAAATTACCTTTTTGTATACACATAAAACAAAACAATTAAGATGTAATAATGAACTTCAACATTTTACGCCTAACTAAATATCAAACTACCAGTATTATCGTGTGGAAAGGGAAGGATAGGACATACATACAGGTATGCGTGTGTGTGTGTGCATAAGTTATAAATCTACATCTTAGAGAGAAGCGAATTCACAGCGATGAATATTTCGGGGAAAAAGCATTCACAGAGCAGGTAAAAAGTAAAATAATATCCACATAGATGTAAATAACAAGAAAAAAATACGGGAAAATAAACAGAATAACAGCGCAAAATAGTGGAAATTATATTCACAGAAGGGTAAACAAATAATCCTATAGTTCCAAAAATTTCTCTCAATCCTTTCTAGTTTTCTTTGTTTCATTTTTATCACGTCTACTTTGATGCCTGGCTAGCGACGATGATGAAATACGATAAGTAAACGCTTCATTTGGTTGAGTGTCAAGATGATTAGCATAAGGAAGTATTATTGTTGGGAATGTAATCAGTCCAAAAAGTAAACATAATCCAACTTCAACATAGAAACCGTCTAGTAATGTTGAACATGTCCCACTGATATCAAGACAAGCCTATTAACAAAACAAAAAACACGAGAAACTATAATTTGAGTAACCCGCGTAAATTTTTAAAAATGACATTTGCACCGAGTTAAAATTATATCAAAAGATAGTTTAACGACGAAAATTATCAAGTTTTTGCATGTGATTACGATTAAGGTTTATGATATTTCCTGATTTTGAACAATTGAGAATCATGTGATATGAACGAGAACGAATGGAAACTCAGAGAGACCGAATGTCTAAGACACAACAACACTACAATATCGATAATTTACAAGACAATAGGAAGACAGAACTTTCAGGACAGCTTCATATTCCGAACAGCAATCAAAAATTGAATAGAATAACTGTGTTTACGTAGTGATGCTTAGTGACCTTGGACACAACAAAATTAGAAAACTGAAAATTGATAACAGACTAGATAACAGCAAAAGTCACTGGGAAAAAATATGAATCAGCAAGATTTCGTCGCGTATATTTTTTAAAGAAACTAAAATCTAACAATAACTAAATATCTTGAGACTTTACCAGCAAGAATTAAACAACAGATAATTGGGTATATACATTACATAGGAATAATATATTTGTAAAATCTCAGCGAATGAATTTGTAGTAAATCAGGATTTACTACAAATTCACTTGACAAAATAAAGACTTTCGGTTGCACCGTTTACTTTTTCAGTGAAATCTAGAACAACAGACATCAACAAATCCCTTCATTCAGTGATATTAATACTACTATTACTAAGGTTATTATTATTTCAGTTATCCGTAACAACTACAATGTACATGTATATGAAGTTCGAGCAACTAAAACAGATCAATTAGACAAACACGAAACCGGTAGAAGGAAAATGAAGCTTAGTTGTTATGCTTGTGGCCGAGTGGATGACTAGTTGATGTGTGACGCGATAAGACCCGCCAATTAGAGAGCAGCGAATTATCGATTGGAACAGTGACACGAAACCCGTACGAGCAGACTAGAGTGCTAACCGGTCCTGCGATCTGCCTAGCCCAACCAGTTAAGCCCAAAACACCAATAACAGCCTCAGTGGTATGAATCATTGTATTTCAAACATACTGAGTTTATATACCAACCAAAGAAACCATATCGACCCATAAAATAGATAATAACATTTGTACAATATTTAGCCGAATGTGATTGTGAATAGTAATCAACAAACTGATGATAACTCAAGAATCGTATGATAATAAGTCAAAGGTCAGAATAAAGCTAATGATAAGAGAAATACGAATATGAATAGTTCAGTTACGTAATAATTGTACAATAGGAAATAGTCATATTACATTGATCCATAAATAGACCTAAAATTTACCATTCGTAATTCACCGGGAGATATAACACTTCCCCTTTTTGAGAAATCTGGAGTTTAAATTTTCCGAGCTCCTCCTCCCCCACGAAAGACTGTTGGATCCTCATATAGCCAAGTTACTATTAATGTGACATTATATAGAATATGTTTGTCATATTTAACAGAGAAACCATTAGAACTGACTGGATCATGAGGATCGACGACAATTGATTTGAGGTCACCAGCGTTTGATTCTTGTGAAACAGTTTGCTTGAATTTTTTCGGAACCTCATTGGCAGATAATGAATCATAATCAGTGTCTATGAAAACGTATTGGATTATTGATTATCATTTAATGCATCTGACATTTTTCTCCCATTTTTATAGAGTTCAACAGGAATATATGAATCATCAAAATAATATAAATCTGGCAGAAAAATTAGAGGATCTTGATCATTAAATTCATAAGATTCGGTGGAAGTTTCTATTGCAGAATGAGCTTTGCTCGGTGTACTGCTCCATATCATCATCAGTTTGTTGATTACTATTCACAATCACATTCGGCTAAATATTGTACAAATGTTATTATCTATTTTATGGGTCGATATGGTTTCTTTGGTTGGTATATAAACTCAGTATGTTTGAAATACAATGATTCATACCACTGAGGCTGTTATTGGTGTTTTGGGCTTAACTGGTTGGGCTAGGCAGATCGCAGGACCGGTTAGCACTCTAGTCTGCTCGTACGGGTTTCGTGTCACTGTTCCAATCGATAATTCGCTGCTCTCTAATTGGCGGGTCTTATCGCGTCACACATCAACTAGTCATCCACTCGGCCACAAGATATAACATTAGTACAAATGCATATTAGGTGAACAATTATGTTTTATCATTTGCACTGAATATATCCAGTTATTTCCTACATATGCAATACTAAACTATTCTCCAGATTGTCGAACACAGAGTCTCAGTTTAGCCAAAGTTAGAACCAGTAAGCTATTTGGCTTGATAAACTTTATCTGTTCCTAAAATGTAAATTAATACCGTTAGTATACAAAATGAACAATTAATAGTCTATTAAACAGGGGAAAAGTGAGACATTAATAACATACCGAACAGTAACTAGAGAATAGGGAAAATAAGCCAGCAAACGTAATATCTAGTAGTTGAATTCATGAGTTGATTAAAGCTAGATCACTATCGAAAACCTGGAAGTACTAGACGGCCTTTTTTCCACCACCACTGTTGATTTAGCTTTAATCGACTGATGAATTCAACTATCAAATTACTACAATCTCCACAAACCCCCCATCCTGATTATAAGAATCAAGTGCTCGCGGGTGACTGGCTTCAAGATGTATTTCCTGGAGCTCTAGTGAGAAGCCGTGAACATTGGAGTTCAACCGTGTGTATTGTGAGGTAGCTACTCACTAAAAACAATTGTGGACGGTGGCGAATGATGGTGGATTGGTTGAGGTTAGACATTAAAACCTAATATCGTTAATGATAGACATAAAATTGTGATTGATGAATAAGCAAGGCATAGTCGTAAAAAGACAAAGAGAGTTAATGCGGTTGATGAGCGTTTCATGTTGTCATTGATGCGTCCGTTTACTGATCACACTTTACACTGAGATCAATTTTAAAACTTAGTATCAAAATTACTCTTGTTTTGAGGACGCTTTTCAGAAAAAGAAGTTTTATGTAAATTTAGGCAATAATAAAAGAAAAATTAAGGTCACCTCTTATAGCTCATTATACAATACTACTTGCCTGAATAGTTTTAGAATTCTCACAGGTAGCATTACTAGCCAACCATAACTGTCCATTTCTATAAATCTCATCTTTTGAATATTGTATAGGATGAGTTATATTCATTTTATTAACAGATTGAATAGAATCAGTTCGTAAAGATAATAACCCAGCTTTTAGTATATCAGCTCCAGAGCATACTCGTAGAGTAAGTGGTTCGACGAGTGATAAAAATAAAGTATTCGGCAAACTTGTAGCTATTAATTGAAAACAGTTAACGACAAATGTTTTATTTAATAAAGAATAGTATGGGTAAGATTTACAATAAAGATTAGTTTATGTAACATGAATGATTAAGTATGATACATATCAGGGACATCTTTATGAGATATATTCTCCTACTAAGCCATGAAACGATCAAGCAGATTAATGAAGGAGTCAAAACCAACTGTGCAGACTGACTTAGGCAGATATAGATGTAGATCGTCAAAACACTATGTTTACTGGTGTAAGTAATCTTAAGAGACATATTCAAAAGTGTATATTTATATGAAAATAAAAAATCTACAAAAAATGATTCATCGAGTAAGCAGTTTTTCACAACTTATTGATTATAATTTGAATTAAGTATAGACGTTCTCTGCTCGGAAAAGATCTCAATCCCAATTAGTACAAACAATGGACTTCTATAGTCCACTAGAAATTCATAAAAGTAATACTAAACTCAGACATAACGGACCTTGAAAACGTTCCTATATATGGACCGTCAAAATACTTTGCTGCTGAGGAATTCCACACTAGGATGATATAGCATTCTAGTGCTTCCTGATCTTCAGTGGTTGTCTGACTAAAGTCAACTAGTGATCTAAAACAACGTAACCTGTAATCATTCAAGAAAAGTAAGAAATATTACCCAACAGCTCAAACTGAAACAAGTGAAAAATAGATTCAAATCGAAAAATCAGTAGCAGTCTTCACAGGACTCGGCCATAATAACATACGTAAATGAAAACAGTAGTAGTAATATCGATCTTTTCATTTTATTCCAACCCAGTAAAAGTCATGCAGACATTTTGAACAATATGAAAGAATATTTTCAGAAAAAAAATATTGCAATTATCATGATTTAATGGATTATTGAGGGAAAAGAAACAGAAAACAAAAATATTAATGAACTAACCTAAATTAGCTGCAGTATTTAACAACGTCATGTAAGTTCCACCCACAGCTGGATCACTTATTTTTGCATGAAATGATACTTGAGTAATAAACATCACAGTAGAGAATACTGTATAAATAGCCAAATGACAAATCATGATACCATAGAAAAGCCATGAGAATGATGCATGAGTTGTAGTTGATTCAAGGATGGGAGCTGACTCTCCTAATGTATGATTATTACGAATGATTGAATGAATTTGATTTGAAATTTTAAAGTACGGTGCAAAATAAATCAACGGAACAGATAATGTTGCTAGAAGTAAACTGTAAGAGAACACTTTTTACAATTAGAAACTAATAGTTATAAGCAAATCAAGTATACGACGGCTCACGTACAAGAGTGATAAAATACTAAGTAGTTGCTTAAACTTAAGTGGATAAAAAAGAGTATAGAGAATAGTTATTCCGTTATATAGGGGTAAGTATTGAGGAAGTTGAAAATTTTGGAACTATTTTACGGATTATTACATCTATATAATCCCTGTGTTAAAAGCTCCCGTTGACTTTCGAAACTATTATTATACGAGTTATTATTCTTTCGTTATTTTTAATTAATTATGTGCCGTTTGTTACAATCTCTGTAACTTATGTGATGATTGTGTAAAATATGATCACTTATTTGGGATCTGTTGCAGTCTGATAATTCATATATATAAACTAATGTGTTTGAGACAAATACACTAGGTGCATGAACTATAGTAGTAGAAGCTTGCCTGCTTCATTCTCTTATTCGGACTCAACTGAGGATAGAAGGAAAACATATCAAAGGACCAATAATACTTAACATCTTGGGATCAATTCAAGGTTAGTTGTTACAGTCCGAGCGTATCATTGGTTAAGGCTTAGGATCCAAGATTATAGCTAAAATAGCACATGCAGGACAGAAAAAAATATTACAGGATTGATACTGACGGATCTCTGCTTCAGATATCCGTTCACTGTTTCTAAAGCATATTCAATGCTTGATCTGCTGGCGTTTTCAATCACCCGGAGGGCAACTCATTTTTCAGCTGAAAAATACCACAGTAACATTTCCCATTACAGATTACTTTTAGCTATTTATGCACATCAGTTATTTAACGTATTCGCCTGTTTTAAAAAGACATTTAAATACTGTAAATCTTAAGCAGAAACATTGTAGTGGTTATTACATTTTCCACTATCACTATCTTTAGCAGAAATGATATCTAGTAACAATGAAATTTGTTCATTTAAAAACTACTGCTGTATAATATAACTTAAGCAGTATAAATTTACTACGCAAGGAAAAAGGTTATACAGTGGAGAAGTGTTGAGATTGAAAATAAATGAATAATGATCACGGTCCAAGTAACTTTCAATATTTATTTTATTTCATAGATCTTCACAATTCCAAAAGTGTGTTAAAAATACATTCGTTGTGATATTTTACATAGTAAATCTCTATTAATATAAAATACTTAGTAAAGTAATATCTACGATTCTAGTTAGTGATAAATATATAGTGTGGTGTGTGCTACTGATGTCGATAGATATAAGTAGTATGTATCACCAATCGAAAGTGGAATACCTGGAGGCAGAAGGTTGAGAAGATTGAAGAGAAGAGAACGAGGACCGAGAGTGATTGATATAAAAACGAAAGAACAAGTAAGTCGGAGACGACTGATGGTCATTTTGCAAATGAAGTATCTACTGTATGGTTCTCAAATTTTACTAAGAGATAATAATAATAATAATGCCGTTGTTTATAAATTGTCATATAGAAGAGATTGAACTTTTTTACCCATTATACAGGAAATAATCGCCTATATTTATATTGTATAATATCCTTGAATTATTGTATTCTTGTAATCTCCTGTTTCACACACATGGTTTATTTTATCATTTTTAAGAGAGTACGAACCAATATTTTAATATCATAACAGGGATTCATTTTATTTTGTTTGATTCTCGTTAGCTGCTTACAACTATTAATTTTGTATAAAAGAACATGTTCAATATTCTGATCAAAGGTTGACAAGTACCCCTTTCATGTTACCACTAACTTTATCTATAAATATGCATATGCTTGACAAAGCAGCTAGATTGGCCGAACAGATTTTTTTAACATGTTCCAAACAAGATAAAGAACTACTTTAGAGAGGGCAATTACTAAACATATCATGGATACAGGACATTGGGTCAGTAGTTTTTAGTCTTTAAGGTTGATTAACAAACATCCAAGCCCTAGTCTTAGGAGGTTTGCCAAGGCCGTCGCTATCAGTAGTCAGAAACCTGATGTACGTGTTCAAAATAAGATGGTCATTATTCTTTCTTTACCTTGATAACATTTTTTCCACATCATGGGATTTCTTCGATTCTTTCTTCCCCATCAATGACATCATTACGTCTTTTTATTTTGACTGATTTCTAGGATGGTAATCTTATTTTAACTAATTGAGCTTTACTCATTTTATTCTTGCATATTATCAGCGTTTATTCATTACGTAACCACATGTTCCTAACCCAATGGACTTTTGTTACTATCAGTGTTGTAGAATGCTCTTTCACATAAAATATGTATTTACGATATTCTATTTAGTCTATTAAATTTATTGATACCCTTACTGTACTATACCAATATGTGGTCATAGCAATTTCCAGCTAAACTCTTTCATATCAGTAATCTGATTTGTAAAATATTACGGGTTGTAAGCAGATGACAAGAAACAAACAAAATACAATAAATTTATGCTGTTCTGCTCAAATATTTTTTTGCACTCTCCTGTTTGCAAGCTTTTGTTTGACCCATAAATCTTTATCATGTTTTAATGCTCCAGATTTACTATTAATTACTTGTTTCACCATTGCTCCGGTTTCATATCACCTGTGACTGAGTTGCGTGTACATCGTAATTTTTGACTCCTATTTGGTATGTTCTTTCGAGTATATTACTGTATAGATTTCGAGTCATGATTGAATAGAGTACGACAGAGAATTAATCGGCTTGATACCTCCAGCCTCCGATCGGAGAACGGGTGGGAGGAAGCTCGAGGACCAATGGGCGTTAGGGTCTTGATTGTTACTAATTGAACCCCATGTCATTCGTTAAATAAAAGATCACCAATCTTACAAACAATTTAGGCAAATTAATCAGTAATAGGACTAGAAAATACAACTACTCTCATAATAAAGGTACAATCACGTAAACTTTAGTACAAATCGAGAACCTGTTCATTTGGATTTTATAACATCGATACACTCAAAATCGACTACACATAACAAAAGCCTACCGAGGTAAAAACGCCCATGTGTAATATTTCAATAATCTCGGTCCATTTGTCACTTGAGTAATGAGTAGTGGTAGAATCACTTCAAGCGGTAATAGTAGAACCCCAATGAAAACAAGTTTCTCTCTTGGTAGACCTTGCTCGATTAGTTTTAGTCCAGATATTGCATCCGCAGGACAGAAGCAAACCTAATTATGAAAATACAAATAAACACCTTGATTTAGCTTTAAAATCACATAAATAACAATGTAAACAAACGGGAAAAAGTACACGCACAACTGATGACTGAAATACTAATTTTTGGTAAATTAAACATTTGATACAGATGCGACAAAAAGTCATTAGTTGCTAAATTACTTATTTTTAAAATATATTGGTGACAATATTTACAAACCGGATGTTTAAGGTGACGAAAGCAACTACTCCTACGTGAACGGTTGCTTAAATGCGTTTAAAAGTCCCAAAAATCTTATCAGATAACAAACAGATTTCCAGTTATTCCTACTAGTGTTTATGATATATATATTTGATAATTAATTTACGGAGTATTTACTGCGATATTCATTGTTTAATATTCGATATGTGTCCCATTTAAGTCGGACACAAAGCTAATGATTACAGTGCTTTAACAAATGTCGTCAACCGAGAGTGTGAACACTTCAAGCTGTTAACTTCAGATTTAATAAGTTCCATAGACAAACAGAGAGCATATTGATAGAGTAGCCACATGGTCCACTTCTAGCTGACTGTTTTTATTATCAATCTCGAAATCACTATCCTGAAACCAATAATTGATAGCCTCTTCCTATAAAAAAGATATTTAGATGATACTTTTATTATTTGTGACGAAAATATTTGTTTTAACGACGTCTTGGACAGGTATAATAGTTTCTATCAATGACTTAAGTTCGTGATGAGATCGAAGTCGGATCCAGAGTTCTACTTCTCAGATGTTTATCCAAAAGGAAAATCTGATGGTTTTCTAAAAGAACTGATATGTACAGAGCCGACCTGGAACGGTGGTTACACAAATTTTCATAGTTGGGTTCCTCTGGAGCAAAATAGTAACTCCATCCATTCTCTATGCATGAGGAGTAAGTGATCCTGTACTCATGTTACAGTCAACATAGTACCCGATAAACTAAGGCAGATACTGATCAATAATGGATATTCACATACATTTACTAGGAAAAATCTGAAACCAAAATGAAAATGTGAAGGAATGTCTGTAGCAAAAAGAGGACTTTCTTTACGAACATTCAATTTAAAGACTTTTGAGACCACTGAGAAAAACATTCTATTAGGTTAGACTTCGCATTGTCTTCTCTTACCGACCTTTGATTCGTAGTCATGTGAAGGACAAGCTCACACTTTAAACGAAATCAATGTAGGTCTATCAGTTTACTTGTTCATACGGAACAAGTTATATCGCCCTTTCTTTCAAAACACATCTAACATAATCTTGCCTGATGTAAAAAACTGGGAAATTCAATCAAAAGCTCAGTCTTGGGACGACTAGTTAATTCTGGATACTGCTTCACCAGAACCGTTTTTCGAAATCATTTATACCGTCGGAAGAAACAGTTCAACAGAAATAAAAATTAACATACAAATATACAACAGAGGCTAAAAACTAACTATCTAATAATTCAACACTAACCTTTGTTTATAAAAACAGTATGTTCCGTCCTTCAATTCTATGATGGCTTTAATCGTCCTTTCTATCCATCACAATCTATATTTTTTCTCCTACTTCCTCCCAGTACTTTTCGTAATTAGTTATTATTACGAATTATAATTAGCCATTGGATTATTGAATAGCTTCCCTTCAATATCTGATTTTTGTAAACAGTTTATAACACGGTGCCACTTCAATTTTTTCAACATTCTACTTCAATACGGACTGTTATTTTTAGCAAATGAATTACCGAAAAATACGATTATAAAGTCTAAGTAAGTTAAATTTTCAAAAAGAAAAATTTATTTGCTGAGTTTTCTTTACTCTTCTTTAAAGACACAAGTCGCTTTTGTTATTTAGGAAAGTGTATAGCAGATACATTGAGTCTTAGATAATAACAACTGCTTGTGATGTTTGGAAAGCTCTTCCTGGTACTGTTGCGACGTCTAATAAGTTGAACTAATACAATCACTTAAGTGTATGGAGTAAAGAAAGAATTAGTAAATAAGTATTTTCTTAAACATAGGATACAAATCGGTACTACAAGACAAATTCTCTGATTTGTTGACCACGATTTCATGGAACAAGATCAAACACAAACTACTATATATATATATATATATATATATATATATATATATATATATATATATATATAATTATTTACCTTGGCAATGAATAATAACATTGCGTATTGTAAAATAGGCTTCAATTTACAAATGCCTAACATAAAACGATAGGTTTCAAATAATGACAATTCTTTATTTGGCTCAGTTACATTCAGTTCTTCATCAGGAGAAATTTCAATAATACGACTCCAAACATTTGATGTATGACTGGGAGTACGTGAACGACTTCGAGTGGATTCACAACTAATTTGTTTATCAATTGTATTTGTTCGTGAGATACGATTTCTAGAGGATGATAACTGTCTTTCGACGTTTCCTGTTGGATTTAAATAAATTACCGAACCATTCGAATGATCATCAAGATGATTAGAATGAGCAGATGATATAACGGACAGATTATGAGGTAACTCCTTCTTGAAAACTCCAACAAGTGTAGTTGCCACCAGGAATACAATGCCCCAAAAATAGAGAAAACCTATTTCAAGAAATAATACAATACATATAAACACGGTTTATTTTGATCGCAGATAAATAGAACGAAGTTGAATTCTGAAAATGCACGGTATATATATATAAACGTGCATCATATTTTTTTAAAGAAAAGTCAATAATTAAAACAAACTAAAACAACTGAGTTTATAAATTGAATCAAAGCAACTAATCCAAGCAACAGGATGATTATTTTCATTTGAGTTTTAACAAAATAAACAAATGTATCACATCAATGAATGATTGATTATCAAATTTCATCAAACTGGCATAACGATAACACCATGTGTCTATTTTGAGATCAGTGATGCAATCAAGCAGATATATGTTGGTAAGGTTATCTTGGTTTAAGACGGTCTCGACTTGCATTAAACGTGTTTGAAGCAACAGTTCGTAGCGGTGAAACTGTAGTGTCGGTTACTATGTTAAGCCCATGTAACTTATTCTAGCTTCTGGACAGACCAGGTTATTCATTTTTCTTGATTCCTATTTCGACCTTATCAATCATTCGCTTATCAACCTTGACTGTTTTTATATGAGCGTCTGTGTGTGTATTTCTTATCTTACACATCACATGTCTGTAACTTATTTCTCTGTGACTATAAATATCGACTAACGCTTGGTTAAATCGAGTTGGCTTACTCGCCTCCTCCATCGAGTGTCATGTTGCTTTGCTTACCTACCCGATCAACGATTATACCAAATATACGTATTCAAAAATCCATTCCCGTATTCGACTTCAATTAATTACGTTATACACCAAAGCGATTAAAGTCGATGATTATATACGAGGATCGGTGATATTTATATTTCAATAACAGTCATTCAAACGATCTACTTGGAGTTAGATACCGCATCACTAAAAGACAACTCATAAACTGATCACATAAAGTATCTGGTCGGTATGAACAAATTTTATGGTTGAATAATCGTTTATAGAGTAAAACTATAAGTTCAATAGTGTTTATCGTAGGACTGCTCTAATCTACTTGATAAAACTTATAGAATAGTTTGAATGGTATGACACTAATTAATCAATATGCAGCAACATTCGCCATATAAAAATAAATAAATATTAACCTAAATCTAACCTGAAAAAGTAATCAGCCCTTCACCTTCAACAGGAGTCAATCGTATATACTTATTAGAAATATCCGGTGATTCTAAACACATGAGGACGACAAACCCAATTAAATGACCTAATGTTTGACCAACTGTATTACATGTGGAAGCCCATCCTAAGTTCTTTCTAAAATAGGAAAAGAAGGATCAAGAAACAAAAAAATTCAAGTCTCGATTATAAAACAATATTTACCTTCAGGGATCTAATAAAAACAATCATATGAATTAATATTGACTAATAAAGGGACCGTTGATTTCGTAAGGATAGATCGTGTACAGATCAAATCGCAACTCTACGTATCATTGTGGAACAATCAATCGAATGGAATTCATCACCCTACATCAACTTCATCGACTACGAGAAGGCATTTGATAGCGTGGACAGGACGACACTATGGAGGCTTCTTCGACACTACGGCGTGCCTGAGAAGATAGTCAAGATCATACGGAACTCCTATGATGGACTAAACTGCCAAATCGTCCACGGAGGACAACTCACCGACTCGTTTGAAGTAAAGACTGGTGTTAGGCAAGGTTGCTTACTCTCACCCTTTCTCTTTCTCCTGGTAATCGACTGGATCATGAAGACGTCAACGACTGGAGGAAAGCACGGGATACAGTGGACAGGCAGGATGCAACTTGACGATCTAGACTTCGCGGATGATCTGGCTCTTCTATCACAAACGCAACAACAAATGCAGGAGAAAACGACCAGTGTAGCAGCAGCCTCAGCAGCAGTAGGTCTCAATATAAACAAAGGGAAAAGCAAGACTCTCCGATACAACGCAATATGCACCAATCAAATTACACTTGACGGAGAAGCTTTGGAGGATGTGGAAACCTTTACATATCTGGGCAGCATCATTGATGAACACGGTGGATCAGATGCAGATGTGAGGGCGAGGATCGGCAAAGCAAGAGCAGCATACTTACAACTGAAAAACATCTGGGGCTCAAAACAATTGTCAACCAACACCAAGGTTAAAATTTTCAATACAAATGTCAAGACAGTTCTATTGTATGGGGCGGAGACGTGGAAAACTACGAAAGCCATTATCCAGAAGATACAAGTGTTCATTAACAGTTGTCTACGCAAAATACTTCGGATCCGATGGCCAGACACTATCAGCAACAAGTTACTGTGCGAGACAACAAACCAGATTCCAGCGGAGGAAGAAATCAGGAGGAAGCGCTGGAAGTGGATAGGACACATTGAGGAAATCACCGAACTGCGTCACAAGATAAGCCCTCACATGGAATCCTGAAGGCCAACGGAGAAGAGGAAGACCAAAGAACACGTTGCGCCGGGAAATGGAGACAGACATGAAAAGAATGAACAAAAGTTGGATAAAATTAGAAAAGAAGGCCCAGGACAGAGTGGGTTGGAGAATGCTGGTCGGCGGCCTATGCTCCATTGGGAGTAACAGGCGAAAGTAAGTAAGTAAAGGGACCGTTAGAAGTAGCCGTCACCCGGAAACATGTAGGAAGTATTGGGACGAGGAATTCGAGATCTCACAGTGAGCACAGCGTAGTTTACCTACTTGATCGGAATTTATATTTACCCCCCCCCCCATCTACTGAATACTACAGGTATGTACATTTTGTCACTGCAAACAGATAAACTCTACAAAACATAACTTAGCATTGAAGCTCCATCGGTGAATATTAAGTTTTTAGTCATGAAAATTGATTATGAATACAGAGGTTTTTAGTGCTGTTAGAAGTATGAGGGCGGTTATCACTTCCCAGTTGCCCACACCATGGAAGGGTTCTTCTAGAAGTGCCCGAAAAAAATTGTGTTAGAGTCGGTTTCAGTGACCTGAGAGCGTAACCGCACTGCCCATGGGACAACTGTGCGGGGCCGATCGATCACACACAATCTTTCTGTGCTCAATCTTTGTGTTAGCTCCGTACTTGTTGAGACTCTACCTTCGGAGACGGATATCCGTGGGATAAGGTGAGTAGTGCATTTTTAGGATCGACCTTCTCTAAACCCACCCTTCCTTTGTGAGGAGGCAGCATTGCTGTTATGCTAATAGTCTGAAGGAAACATCTTACTGCCGTCACACCTCTGTATAGTCAGCAGTAGGACTTCGCCCTTGGACCTTGGGTTTTCTTCTTTTAGTCTTACCGCTCTTCAACCGACCTGTCTGACATATTAGGAACTTGAGGAACTATTGTTCCAGCCAGTATAGCCCGATTGGTTTATCACGATAGGCAAGTCCGACCACCACATCAAGGTGGCAGCAACGGTGAGGATTAAATTCTTAAGTAAGATTACATCGAGCTTTTGAAAAGATGAAGAATGACATTTATTACTAACCATTTATAACGTGGAAGAAAATCATCAAATTTACTAATTACGTCTTAAACTTATTGACTTACGAGTGACCTACGAAATTCGCGCTTTAAAAACGAATACGCTTTAAATTATTCGTAACTAAGATTACTTCTGTTTGATACTTTACAAGTACGTATGTCATTTTAATAGAAAAAAAGACTGTTTCTTAACTTGTTGTTACAAATTTTTATATTAGCCGTTTGTGCCAATAGTTTAATCACATGAACTGTTACTTCACTATATAATATTATTTAATGATTACCATTATATCTGACAAAAGGGCAACTAAGATATAATCATAATTGAAATCTGTTCACAACACAACTAGTACAAGTGTGAATTATTGTAAACTCTTTGGAAAGATAACTGTGTACCTTCTTCAGATGCATAACTTATTTATTTTTTTTAGAATTAAATATTATAACTATTTACATAAGTAATCACATATCAATTACTTTAGACTCGATTGGTTTTAAGTATAATTTCGACCATGTAAGCGATCATGGATGAAAAGTAACTGGAAGTTTTCAAAAATTCCTACGGCAATATATGTGAAATTTATTCCCTAATATACACAAGTACTGGTCAACTGGACACCGAAGGAAATAGGCGTCACACAAATAAAGGATTAAAATTGTGAACAGACAGAGGGAGAGGGAGTATAAAGCAAATAGCTGAAAAGAAATAAGTGAACGAGAGTATTTATATCTTTGCCAAAATGCAATTAGAGTCAATATTTAACTCGATATCGAAATCCTCTTATTAAATATTATGTACTCTCTCAACCGTATGGCTAATATGTTCTATGTAGAATACATGGAATGTGTCTAGCAGTGGAAACCAATAAGTGCGTTTCTTCCTATTTGAGACTGGTCAGTTGCATGTACCTGAATCCAAGAGCTGATCCTCACTTCAAGACTCACATGCAATTACTTTCGCTTCAAACGCCACGGCGTTATCCACTTAGCTACTGAATCTAGATAGCCACCCACTTGTGCAACGGGTATGAGGTTTAACTCAATTTGAAATGATTTGGATTACTTCGTTGCTGAAATCCGATTGAAAAGTCCCAAATAGGACGAAACACGGACCCTAGGCTCCCCTGCTAGTCACATTACATCCATTCTATACTACCTTGTGCCCTTATGGCTAGATCAAGACAATCCGCACAGGGTGCCCATATCTCAACCAAAGCTGATCAAATTTCAGAATAATCCAGATCATTTCAAATCAATATGTTTCATTTCCCTTACAAATGACCATTCTGGTTATTATGACTACCTTGATTTTTTCTATATATGCACATATATGTCATACAAGAAACTCACCTAGACAACATTGTAAGTGCCCATCCATCCACCACAATATCTTGTGTAGCTGCAAGAAAAGTAAGTCCAAAGAAAGCTACGGTCAAACGTGAAATATTCACAGGATGCACCACACCTAATGGGCCCCATGGGTTATCAGGTGTACGCCCCAACCACTGGTTAACATAGAGCGCGATAATAAGCAGGTTAATTCCAAGAGCATATTGAACGGGAATAAGCCAAGTCTTTCGTCTTCCTATACGTGAACTGTACAACGAGTCCACTATTGGAGCCCAAGCTAATTTAAGCGAAAATGGCCAAAATGCAAACGAGAAAGCTGCTTGTGATTGGTAATTAACCGATTTTGGATCTGATTGTAGTAAGTAAGGGACTGCAGACGACAGTCCAAGAGGAATACCCTAACAATGAGATAAATTGTACCAAAAACATATTTAGATAGTTCTAAAATCTATATGAGATGATCAGTTAAAACCAATGACATGAGAAGATTTGACAATAAAAATGTAAAGATAAACAAACAGTAACGGTCTGATGCGGAAATTTAAGGTGCTATAACGTCAATCTCGGCCCTTCTACGGACCAGACATGAAGAATGGAGGTAGCTATAAGATCGTACAAGCTATCAGTAAATTCAAAAACCTATATGGTGTCTCAGCTAGACCTTAAAAATGCTTCGGAACTCCCCTATACACATTTTATGAACTTCGAAGAGAATATGTTTAGGCAAACTGCTGAAATCGAAGCCAAAAGAGCGGAATGCTATCGTGTCTGTCTCCAAATTTGTCTATTGAGATCAGCTGATCAACATTCATTTTCACTACTTATTATGAAGTAATGTATTTTCCATTTGTTGTAAATCCAGAGAAAACAGTAGAGTTTACAGTAAGCGAGGAGTTCGGATGGGAAATACATGTTTTAACGACTTTGGTCGGAATATGTTCATATACCTTGAATTGTCTAGTTCAGTCTAGTGATGCTTAGGAAGAGCTTAAAAACAAAGTAAGTGATATGTGCTTAGCTAACCGAACACTAGGATAGCATATGATATCCGATCACCATATCAAATCCACTATGTGGATATAGATGACCCAAAATAGTGACTTATCGAATATGTACATCAGAAATGTGTAAACTGACACACTAATTCCGGACATTTGAAGCAGATTGTTCTTTATTTAGGTTAATTTTTCGGTCAACGGATGTTATTTGCCAAGCGGATTGGACAAAAATTGTTTGGTGGCAAAACTAACTTCCAGGGCCTAATAGACTACGGAACCAGCACAAAAATACTCTGATTTGTCTGTATTGTATGAGTACAGGAGTAACGTAATCTGATGCACCCCTGAATAATTTATCAAGCGCTTACCAATTGTACAGTTTCGAGCCCTGTCTGTGCGTGATCTAATGGAGACTTATATACACGGTCTAAACTCTACATGATTATTTCGAATTCGGTCTGCTGCTGCAGTGCGCTTAAAGTATAATTTTAAAACCTTTGATAGTTGGCTTTTTAGTGTTTCGTTAATAACGGCAATTCCGTTTAGCAGAGTAACTGGCTTCAGAAAATATACAAAATTAGTTGAGGTCATGTATGTTTGGAGTTAGATTTCGGTCAGGAAAATCTCCTGACAAATTATACTTAAACCTCAATCTACATAATAATCAATATTTAGGATAGTTGAATATGCTAAGAACGTTTTAAATAATCAGAAAACCCACCTGCAAAATGTAGAGAAATATGAGAAGACAAATATTACAAAAGTCGGAAGGTTCTTTATCAAATTTTTTATCAGTATAACCTTGATTAGCAGATGAGTCGGTTGTAACAAGTGATGATTTCTTCTTAGCCATTTTCATAAGACAGTTAATCGACGACTCCGATCTATGTATTTCGCGTGTAACTTAAAAAGTCGTGGTACAAGTATGAAACCTAGTTTTTGAGATAATTGACATTAACCTTAAAGACGTTGAGTTGTAAGATTAGTGATACTCTACTCGATGAGGATGGAAGGCTAAAATAGAAAACATGATAGTAAAACATCAGTGGACGGATGGGATTTTAAGAAAATTAAGCAATAGGAAATTGGGAGTGAAGTTTTAAATTCATTACATAGTTACTTTTGATGAACAGTCGTTCTCCTACAAGTGATGAGTGAGACAGATAGTGGGATGTTTTGTGTGTGTTGGTTTGACACTAAGTCAGACCCCATCCCGAACACCAAATGGGCCTCAAATGCCCTAGTAGAAGAATCTGCTGTCTCAAAATGTTCTTATGTAGCCACGTGTTTACACTCACTACCATAGAAGCCAAACTCACTGCTTACATGCACCGGAGGCGATATTTACAGAAATGTCCCCAAATGCCCTGGTACGGCCGAGAGTGGGGAGAGTCTACTCTCTCTCTCGAAATGCTCTCACATGGCCAGCGAATATATAGCCTCTGACAGGGAAGTCCTACTCACTGCCTTCTCGTACCACGGGTGTTGTTTACGAAAGTGAGAGGACGAAAAGCGAATGTCCGGCGCTATAACCGGATTGGTGGACATGGAGGGTCCACCTAGGGGAGTTGGAAAACCCTGATTCCAAACCAATGGTGCACATGGGCTCCAGTATCCTGATGGAACGAATGGCGGAAGAACCTGCTGTTGGTCAACGGCAACCATGGGACTGCATCTCCTCACGATGCTCCACTGCCTTGTGGATCAGACCTTTAGGTCAAAGGCTCGGGGTGTGGTCCCCTAAGAAAACCACCTGCTTCGGTTTGGGCACCCGGGCAGTATCACAGCCCACACACAAACAAATGAAATTATGAACTTTATTGACGATATCCCTGGTCATACTAAAAGCAAAACAATTAACATTATTATTATTATTACCTTTATTATTATTATTATTATTATTATTATTATTATTATTATTACTTACCATATCGCTAATTCACCCCCTTTTATCCCCAATTTGTGTAACCTTACTCTTCAACTTATGCAGCAGCTCGCTCTTGGTGGAAACTCTGTCCTATCTAAACGATCTCCAGTCACTGTCTGGTTGAAAGTGAATGCTTCCACCGATTACGAATACTGAACCAGTCTTTCTGAAACCACGTACGCCGTTCAAGCTGGCTTCCTTCAACGTTCGCACACTAATGCAGATCAGACAACAGATAGGGCTGGCTATGTCTTTGGAAGGTCTTAATGTTGACGTTTGTTGTCTATCCGAGACCCGTATTCAAGACTCTAGTGAAGTACTACAAATCCGCTCTCCATCTGTCGCCTCGAAAAGCTTGTTCCACGTGCGCTTATCCGGGGACCCTGTGGCATCTTCGTCTGGTCTTGCTGGCGTTGGTGTCGCACTAAGCGCTAGAGCTGAGGCAGCACTAATCGATTGGATCCCCATTAACAGTCGATTATGTGCTGTTAGATTAGAAAGTTCCATCAAAGTGAGAAGAAATCGGCGTGAGAAACGGTGTCTTTTCGTCATCTCCGCCTATGCCCCGACAGATTGCAGCCCGGATGCAATCAAGGATGGGTTTTACCATCAGTTAACAGTTCTTCTCCAGAAAGCGCGTTCGACAGATATTGTAGTACTAGCCGGAGACTTGAATGCACAGGTCGGGCGTCTAGGCACAGAAGAGAGTCGTTTAGGTGGCCGATGGGGACTTGTTGGTCGCAGGACAGATAACGGGGACCGTTTGCTGCAACTGTGCACAGACCACAACCTGTTTCTGGCCAGCACTAACTTCCGGCACAGTCATCGCCGGTGTGCCACCTGGCGTCCTCCCTCTGCATCCCAAGCCTGGACTCAGATTGATCACATCGCGATCAGCTACCGCTGGCGTGGTTGTGTACAAGACTGCCGCTCCTTTTGGAGTACCTATCTGGAGTCTGATCATGCCCTGGTCTGCGCCAATCTCACCTTACTTTTCAGTGGCCGAAGGATTGACCACCACCAACGGATTGATATTAGTAAACTGGCTGCAACTTCTGTTGCAAGTAAGTATCGAGCGGAGCTAGCCTCTAGGCTAGCTACCATCCCACCGAAAAGTATAGGTAAGCATTGGTTGCATCTTCATGACGCCATGAAAATGGCGAGTAAAGCCGCTTGCGGCTTCGCGAAACGTCCCGCTTACAAGCACTGGGTTTCTTCTGGCTCCTTACAACTGATGGAAGCCCGTCGGTCTACTCCGGGTGACCGTGAGTTTGACCACAAACGAAGGCTGTTACGTAATGAAATCGGGCAAAGCTTGTGTAAGGACCGGGAAGCCTGGTGGTCGGAGCGTGCTAATGAGATGGAAGCAGCAGCTGCATCTGGTAACTGCCGGAAGCTCTTCCAACTCATCCGAGCCACTGGCAGCAAGAAGTCTGGTGTGAGTGAAACAATCTACGAGGATGACGGGATGCCAATCACTAACATCTGTCGACGTCTTGGACGATGGGCGGAATTTTTTGAAGGGCAGTTCAACTGGCCTGCTGCTACGGCAACATCGACCAGCTTGTCCTGCTCCCCATGGCCGGTGACGACTGATCCACCAAACGAGGCGGAAGTCCACAAGGAACTCCAACTCTTGAAACGTTATAAATCACCTGGCCCAGATGACTTACCTCCGGCTCTTTTTAAAGATGGTGGTGACTTTCTGGCTAAGGAACTGACTGCGTTGTTTGGAAAGGTTTGGGAGCAAGAAAGTGTTCCAACATTTTGGAATGAGTCAATAGTCGTCCCTATCTTTAAAAAGGGTTCACGTTGTTCCTGTAGCAACTATCGGGGGATAAGTCTACTTTCGATCGCGTCCAAACTATTGGCTTCTATCATTCTTCGTAGGTTGTTTAAAACCCGAGAACGATTGACTCGCGAGGAGCAGGCTGGTTTTCGTTCTGGTCGAGGATGCATTGATCACATCTTCACCCTCCGCCAAATGTTAGAACACCGTCATACTTATCGCAGGCCAACAATCGTAGTGTTTCTTGATATCAGGGCTGCCTTCGATTCGTTGGACAGGACTGTTCTCTGGGATTGTCTATTGAAGAAGGGTGTGCCTGAGAAGTTCATTAACATCTTAAAAGCCCTGTATACGAACACCTCAGGCAGAGTGAGGGCATACAACCACCTTTCTCCCTTGTTCCATTCGAGCAGTGGGGTTAGGCAGGGTTGCCCGATCTCACCATTCCTCTTCAACTTTGCCATCGACGACATCCTAGAAACAGCTCTGATGGATGTAAGTAATGGCGGTGTGGATATGTTGCCTGGAGAACGACTTCTCGACCTCGAGTATGCGGATGATATTGTCTTACTGTGCGATAATGCCCAAGGCATGCAATCAGCACTTAATCAGTTGGCAATCAGTGTCCGCAGGTACGGCATGTGCTTTGCACCCTCCAAGTGCAAAGTACTTCTACAAGACTGGCAGGATTCTCATCCTGTACTCACCCTGGATGGTGAGGAGATCGAAGTAGTTGAGAAGTTCGTGTATCTAGGTAGCTATATAAGTGCTGGTGGTGGCGTGAGTGATGAGATTGATGCACGTTTAATGAAAGCCAGAGCGGCTTATGCCAATCTGGGCCATCTTTGGCGCCTTCGTGATGTTAGTCTGGCTGTAAAAGGTCGGATCTACAACGCGTCGGTGAGAGCAGTTTTGCTCTATGCTTGTGAAACCTGGCCTCTCCGAGTTGAGGATGTTAGACGTCTCTCTGTGTTCGATCATCGTTGTCTCCGAAGGATTGCTGACATCCAGTGGCAACACCATGTTAGTAATGCAGAGGTTCGGCATCGTGTGTTCGGGCGCAGAGACGATAATTCAATTGGTGTCACCATCTTGAAACACCGACTTCGGTGGCTCGGACATGTTTTACGAATGTCGTCCCAGAGACTTCCGCGTCGTGCATTATTTGCCGACCCTGGGACTGGTTGGAGAAAGCGGAGAGGAGGTCAGTGTATGACATGGTGTCGTGGCATGAAAGAGAGCTGCAAAGGGCTAGCTTCCGTTGGTCCTTCACGACTCCCTGGTTGGGGTCCGAGAGATAGTGCAACACAGTGGCTAGAGACGTTATCGGATATGGCTCAGAATAGAAGCCAGTGGCGATCCTGCTGCAACCTTCTTTTACTTTCTACATAAAGAATGGTTCTAACTTTCCTAACTGAAAGAATCTTCTGGTTGTACATTTCAGCCCGCCTTATCTTTTCATCCTTTATCTACCTACTTTCATTATTTTGTGTGGCGCATATGTACCTGGTGCCCTTTTGTACCAATATATATGTGTTTAAATAAATAAATAAATAAATTTACAGAAATAAGGGGATGAAAAGCAAATGTAAGGGGTTTACACCGGGTTGGTGGGTACGGAGGACTCACCAAGAGGCGTTAGAAAACCCTAGTTCCAAGTCAATGGTGCACGTGAACTTTAGGATCATGAGGGGAATATAGCATATACACCTAATTTTAGTCACCAGCTACCATGACACAACACTGAACGTTGCTCCACTGCTGATATGTTTGATCTAAATCGATTCCGCGGTAACGAACGAAAGCCAATGACACAATGACACGATAAGCTATTCTAATCTGTTGCCCTAGGCCCCGCTAACTAGATGAAGAAGTCTAAGGCAAGTAGGGGACTATATGTATTCCGTAAGCAGCCGAGTACAAGCAATCAAATAAGGGAAAAAGTCAAGTCTTGTGGACTAAACCTCTAGATCAAAAACCATCCGTTTTGGTTAGAAAGGCTAGGTAGTATTCCAGATGACTCACAAATATGGTAACCGGAAATTGTGAAAATGATATATTTGTTTTGCTTCCTCACTGGCACAAATGATAATTGTCCTAGATTTAATTTAAATGTATTTTTAAGCAGAAAAAACAAAGAATA